CAGGTGCAGGGACCTACCCCAACTCCCAGCCACTGAGGGCTAGAGCTGGGATGAAAACACTTGCTATCCACATGCACATGGAGTGTTGAAAGAGTCTCCAGGTGATGGGAGGTTTTGCACTTATCCTTGAGGTCCTGGGACAGGTCATAGGTCTGTGCCTCAGTGTCCCCAGTGTGGGCAATGGACAAAGATAGACTCTGGATGGAAAACTGTGTGCTGTACAGGAGAGTGAGGGAGGGCTGCAAACTCCCAGAAACTCATATGAATGTCTATTTTAATTTTGTTGCCTTGAGGTGCTGCGAAAGTGTATGAAGGGATGAAAACTTACTGAGTCACCAAAAGCCTGAGCAGTGAGCTTGGGCCTCAATCGCTGGAGATAGGATCAAGAAACTGGGCAGCTGCTCCAGGAGAGACCAGAAAGCCAGCGACAGGGGAGAGTGGAGGAGCGTCCAGGGTTGAGGAACAGCTGTGTGGCAAGACATGGGTTCTCAGAGCATGGAAGACAGAGAGGGACACATGTAAGAAGGGGCCTCAGAGGAAGCATCAGTCATGCCTTCTTCCCTTGAGCCCTGCCAGGAACTTGGGTAATAAGAGTTTACAAACCAAGACCTACAGTGCCCCCTGTTTCCCACAGGATGTATGGCACCCTACCCTTGTCCCTACTTCATGCACAAAGACCTCTTAGGGCCCTTCATACAATCCAGAGTGGTTAGTGTTATACACACCCGACCTCAGTCTGTATTTTCTAACAATCCCCAGAAGCCCTAAGTGTAAGGCACCATCTCTCCTCCTGTCTATTCCAGAAAACAACTACTATGGCACCTGCTGGTCCCTTACAAAGAATTCTTAGGATGTTTTTGTGTTTTTTTTTCCCCCCCATGGGAGAGAGACAGAAATAGACAGACAAGATAGCAAACTCCTCCACTAAGGTTTCACACCATAGTCATCTCCCATCTCAGCCACCCTGGAGCATGGGCACACACACTGTCATCCAGCATGCTCAAAGAGGTGCTGAGATCCAAACCTAGACCTTCTCCAATGAGGATCTAGTTGTAACCCCACTGCACCACTACCTACTGTCTTTTATTATTATTATCATCATCATCATCATCATTATTATGTAGCTTGTGGAAATATAAATGGTTTAACATTGGAAAGTGTGAATGAACTTTAGTGGCAGCTTCAATGTTTACAGTGACAGCCTCAGCTGAATCTTACAGAGTCACTTCCATGTGAGTCTCTGGTCAGGGGTGAAGAGAGAGAGTGTGTGCAGATGTGGAGGTGCAGGGCGTGCAGGTACAGCTCTCATGCCAAAGTGTGTGTCTGTGGCTCACGGTACAATGGCTCCTCCTTCCCGAAATTCACCTTCAAACTGGATCTGATCTCCATTCTCAGAATGGAGAGCTCCTAGGATGTGAGGCTCTTTGTTCATTCCAAAAAATTTCATTGAACCATCAGATCTGCTGGGACACTAGGGGATCAGACTGGGAATTTAGGAGGGAAACCAGGGCTTTCAGATGCACAGTGGCCCCCACAGGTCCTAATGTCAATGATGGGGACAGCTGGCTCCTACATGGCTCCCCTGAAGCTGACTCTTCACGGAGACCTGCAAGCGCAGGCCAACTTGCAAGGAGGAAAGAGGCAGCATGAGGCAAAAAGGGTGAGTCAGTTGGTGAAGGTCCTTGGACACCTCTCCTTCTCCCTCTTTCATCTCTCTGGGTCCCCCAGCTGTACTTTAGATCCATTCTGGTCATTTACTTTAAATGTTGTTCTGCATTCTTAAGATTCTTGTTAATCATTGCCTAAATAACAGTTGGGCCATATGACCAATGACATCCTAGTGAGAGTTTCCATGATCTCTAGTCTCATTTTCTGTGAGATGTTCCCTCCTTCTATGACATCCCTGTGTCAAATAGACTATCTGTTGACATCCTCAGCTCCTTCATTCTTTCTGTCCTCATCACGTTTTATATGAACTTATTAAAATGGACAGAATCCCAGACATGGCTGAAGGCTAGTTTCCAACACTGAAGTTTCTGAGTAGTCCCCAGGGACAAAGAGTTTGCACAGGGATGAGCTCTGCAGGGTGGATGGTCATTGGTCCCTCCAGCCAGGCAGGTCCTCTACAGAATCAAGGGGACCCAGTTGTCGTAGGTGTTCACTTTTCATGTTTTATGAGAGAGCAGAAATAATACTTTCCCATTGGCCACAACTTTCTCACTACAGATGCTCCAGAGGGCCCTGTATGTGTAGAAAGTTTGTGGTATCAACAGCAAATTAGACCACGCAAAGGAAAGCATCTATAACCTCAAAGACAAAATCTCTGATTTAGTCTACACAACTGAAAAGAATAGAATAACTGTTAAAAATCAGGGCAACATATGGGATATCCTAGACATTATTAAACAACTGAATAGCTGCCTAATATGTATTCTAGAAGGCAAAGAGACAGGTAAAGGCATAGAAAATCACTTTCATGACTTATTAGCTGAAAACTTTCCAAATTTAGAAAAGCATGTGGACATTCGAATCCTGGAAATACAAAGGACATCAAAGAGATATAACATAAAAAGATGCTCTCCAATGCATATCATAGCCAAAATGGTAAAAATCAAAAACAAAGACAATATCCTAAAAATGACAAGGAAGAAACAACAAGTTACTTACAAAGGTTACCACATTAGACTAACATCAGATCTCTCAACTGAAACAAGGCAGACAAGGAAAGAATGGGTAGACACGTTTAAAACTCTGAAAGAAAACCAATTTCAGATAAGAATACTATACCAGCAAGATTATTCTTCAACTGAGGAGAATTACAATCATTCCTGGGTAAACAAATGCTGAAATAAGTATCCAAAATGAAAATAGTGCTTTGGGGAATGAACACTGAAGGCAATACTACACTAAGAAAAGTACAAGGAGATAATTAGTAGTAAGAGAACACAAAACAACTAGAAAAGAAGCCCACACATTTTGATAATAACATTGAATGTCAAGATTGAACTCCCTAACTAAAAGGCCAACGTGTAACTTCAACTATTTTACACATAGCAGGTAGAAGTGCAAATTCACCAATTATTTCATAGACACTTATTCCAACAGGTTTCAATTTAGATATTTATTTACATCATTACTCATTGTATAAAACTACATGATAGAGGAAAATTCAAAAATGTTACAAGTAGCTGAGTCTTGCTTTGGAATGAATTTTTAAAAAAGCAAAAATCAAGAACTTTGTAAACCCTATTGATCAGCAAATCACTGATGTTACCATGTCTTCAGTTTCAGATACCTCTTTCCAATTTTGTTCTGTGTTTGCTTTTTTGAGGACCTTTTTTTGTTTTTGTTTTTGTTTTTCTGCAAGTATAGTACTATGGTCTTATAAGGATGCACAGTGAGTGATTAAATGTTGTTGTTTTTTTTCCCCTATCTATACTTAAAGTGCTTTGAGGTACAGTTTCACCCGTCTCCAACTGGACCAATGATTGATATCATAGATTGTTTCAAAATATAAACTCTGGGTTTTATATTTTTATTATTATTCATTTAATTTAATTTGATATTATTTTGATTTTGCTATAGGACATGTGCACTCACCAGAGAGAAACAGACAGAGAGAGAGGAACAGAGAGAGAAAAAACAAGAAACCAAGCCACCTGGTCTGGAGCTTGAACTGTGGACAGCCATGAGGAAGTCCAGCAAATTAACCACCGTACCACATGCTGGCCCCACAGACTGGAACCTTCTATCTTCCACAGTCCTCTAGGAAAGTACAAGTGCTACTCTCATTGGCTATGCTTAGATTAACTTTGTTTAAAAACCTATCCTCATTAAGTTCTAAGATTTTTGGTGTTCTATTTTTTAAAAGAATTATTTAATTTAGTTTTATTCATTATTACTATTCTTAATTTACTATACGGCACATGTGCTCACTAGACAGAGGGACAGAGAGACACACACAGGCAGGGTGGGGGAGGAGTGAGAAAGCAAGCCTCCAGCTCTGGGAATTGAACCACAGTTAGCCATGTGGGAGTCTAGCACCTTAACCAGCCAAACCACCTGCCAGCCCCTCTCTGTTGTCCAATTTTTAATCAATTTGCTTTTCTTTAAAATTGTATTTTAAAGTAAAGGACATCAAAGAAAATGTAGTACATACTTCTAGAATGACCAGTGGAGAGGGTTTCGAATGTTCACAACATAATTTAGTGTTAACTGTTGATTTTGATAAATATGTTTATTGCCTTGATTTCTTTATTACACATCATAAACATACTTCTAACCACCATCCTGTACCTTACAAAGATGAATAGATGTAAATCATAAATTACAGTAAGTACATATATGAAAAATTACAGCCCTCGCAACCTGCCAGTGTGTCCTTAGACAAGTGACCTCTCTGGAGTTTTCTCATTCAGTAGAAAGGGGAGAGCGGATGGGACTTATGGATATTTCCTGTTCATGGTACAGGAATAAATGGCAATCACATATTCCAGATGCCTATCCCAGAAAGGCATGAACGTTGTTTGTCTCCTCGCCTCTGATTTACACAAGGAATTTGGGAACTCAGAAGCACTCCAACCCAGTGTTCTGGTTCTTCATTCATTCATCAGAAGTTCCTGGGAGCCACCAGGAAACGACTCAGTCAGCACTCCATGGAAATGCAGGGAGCATGACGGATGGTGTTTCCTGGTGTCTGCCCTTGCACTCAGGTCCTCTGTGCCTATCTTACACAGCATCCCCAAATCTCCAGCAGGGTCAGACCCTGCCAGCCTTCAGTCAACCCTGACACTTCTGCAGAGCATGTCTGGAGGGCCAGGGCCAGGGAGGGGCAGCCTGGGGGACCCAGACATGGAGGACCTGGGCCAGTGCACTCCTGGCTGTATCTCCTCAACTCACAGAGCTGCAGGAAGTGTGGCACCCGGACAGAGAAGGGGGTTTGGGTCTCGCTTCCCCATCTACTGTGTCACTGTGAGATGGCAATTGATGCGTTCCAGTGACTAACAGTAATAGTCAGCCTCATCCTCAGCCTGGGCCCCAGTGATGGTCAGCGTGGCCCTTTCACCTGAGCTAGAGCTTGAGAATCGGTCAGGGACCCCTGAGGCACGGTTGTTCTCCTCAGAGATGAGCAGACAAGGGCCCTGGCCTGGCTTCTGCTGGTACCAGTTAGCGTAACTCTCTCTTAAGCCGCTTCCCTGACAGGTGATCCTGGCTGTCTGTCCCAGGGCCACAGACACCAAGGTTAGCTGAGTCAGCACAAAGGGCGCCATAGAACCTGCAAGAGAGGACAGGAGAGGTGAGCCTGAGGCTGAGGGTCTCCTTCCCAGAGGGTCCACACCCTGCAGCACCCCTTGTGCTGAGCTGAAGGTCAGGCCAGGCTGGTCCCTGGTTGTGTGGGGCTGAGCCCTGGGAGCAGCACCTGTGCAGAGAGTGAGGAGGGGGAGCAGGAGAGAGGTCCAGGCCATGGTGGAGACACCCCAGAGCTCTGCCTCTGAGCCCACAGCTGGGGAGGGCCTCCAGGCCTTTCTTATCCTGAGGGAGAGGGGCTCCTCATGCAAATGTCCTCCTTCCTTCTGTGGCTGGGGGTGGCTCCCTGCTGAGCAGAGAAGGGCTGGGCTTCCAGGAGGGTGTCCATGGGTCTGTTCCCAAGGCCTGTGCCCAGGAGCTCAGATGCTCTTTGTTGTGGAAGGAAAAAGTTCTGCCTCAGCACACACAAACACACTCCACACACACACATTCACACATGCACACACACACACACACATAGATTCACACATACATCTCAGAGTAATAGTCTTCTTCTCTAGACTGGACAAGACCCCCTCAGTCCCCATTCCAGTACTGAGACTGTGCCTGAAGTGGGCCGGACAGAGTCTGGGCAGGAGCTGGTGGGGTGAAGGGTCATGCTGAGGCAGGGGAGTCCAAAATTCCAGAGTCGACACAGAGGAAATGCCCACATGCCTGGGAGGAAAATGTATTATGTTTCAAAAATTAAAGAAGAACAGAATATCTATTCAGGGCTTGGATAGATTCTTCTACTTGACTCTGAAAGAATGAATTACAAAATGGAGGACTGATAAATTCAAACTCATGGTAAAACCAAATTTAGGCAAAGCAACATTGAATAGAGCTTAGTTAAACAAAGGACGGGTGATTGAAATTGGGCAGCCTCCTGGAAGATCACTTCTGAGAGACTACGGCTGGCCGATTGGTTTACAAGGGCTATAAGTGGGCGGAACAGGAAAGTGATGGGTGGGTGAAAGGGGAAGTGTACAAAAATCGTAAGTGAGGGAGTGAGCTAGAGGAATCACTGGCTACAGCTGGAGGGTAGGCTGCAAGACCAGCCTAAGAGCGAGGCTTCCTGTGGTTGACTGAGCTGTGGCTACTAGGATGGACTGTGACTTAGCACCTGCTCAGGAAAACAGCCTAACGTGCAATTTCGGCTTCTCCACAGGAACCCAGGTGTGGAAGGACAGCAGCCGTTTTAGACCAGAGGAGTTCAGGTTAACACTCCTAAAATTTAAAATCTGATCTGTAAAAGTTATATTTTTCTAAAACGTAGAAGGCAATGTTTCATAGACGTACACCAAATTGACGTTAATTAATGAAATTGCCACGTCCTCCATCTTCCACAGTGAGCTTTCTCGTGGTCTGTTTATGAGGAAAGAGCTAAAGAGCACTTGTAATCTGCTCCCACACAATTCAGAATTGAAACCACAGTCAGACCCCTCTGCTTAATCCAAATGTCAGAGGAAGGGCCAGGTGGTATCCAGTGGAAAGTGGATTTCACCCACAGAAAGGCCTCAGAGGAAGCCTCAGTCATGGGCTTCACACTGAGCTCCCCCATAGGGTATCAAGGTGTCAAAACCAAGGCCCACAGTGCCCCCTGGTGTCCACAGGACTCACCTCACCTACATGTGTCACTACTTCCTGCACCAGGACTGCTTCAGTCCCGCCCACACAATCTGGGCAGTTTGCTGAGTGCTTTACAGGAACCGCCTCAGCCAGACCTTCCCAGTAACCCCAGCAGCCCTGAGCTTCAGGCACCATCTCTCCTCCTGTCTATGTCCAAAGGCCATCATGGGAGGTGACATGATTTCCCCACAGTCCCAGAAAGTAGTGGGAGGAGCCCAGGGGACTCAGCTCAGAGCTGCCCTCAGCCTCCCTGCCCTTCCTGACCCCTGCTCCTCCTCCCTCCCAGACTCCTAGGCCCTATTGTCACAGCCTCTCTTCTGTGTCCTGGGGCTCTGTCCTGGGTCTTGTGTACAGAGGTGGGGACCAATCCTCTATTCCCTCTAGGGCAGGTAACACGGGAGGGTGAGTCAGTGGGGACCCTGGGAACGTCAGAGGCCTGGTTAGCCTCCTCTGAGGTTGATATCCTGACCAGATATTTTCAAAGTCCTTTTCTGCCAAACGAGGGTAAATAATAATTTATGATACAATAATAATTAAATATCGATGCGTTTGTGTAATCACAAATGCATGCCCATCTGTAATAATCTGCCCTCTGAGCCAGGTCAGCAGAATCCCGTGAGCGCCGACCTGCCGCGTTCTATTTTCATTCTTCTACAAGTACTTTCCAATCTCCCTTTGGTCTTTTCACTGATGCCCTTGTTATTTAGGAGTATGTTTTCACATTTTTTCAGATTTGCGCATTCTAGGGAATTGTTATTCTACCAAATCCTAATCTCGTTCTTTTCTGTTTGAATCATATTCGTCTCAATATTTCCATCTTTTCAATGCAGGGGTTTCTCCCAATGCCTGCAGGAAGGTCCACCCTGGAGGAGGATCCAGGTGCCCTTGGGGAGAACGTGGGTTCTGTTGTGCTGGACGGGCAGTCCCAGGTTGTGATCAAAGGGCAGGAGAGGTCATCACTTTTTGGTGTTGGTCCCCAGGGAGGGACCCTGTGACCTGGGACTCCCTGAGCCATCCTCATCGCAGTGAGGCAGCAGGACACGGGTCAGGATCCAATTTTGGTCCGTGGTTTTTCAAGGTAATAATTTTCATTTCAATCCATAAACTCTGACACTAGCTGTCATGGCTGTGTAGACATGTTCATGTGTCAGAAATGTCTCCAAAGGGACTGTTTTATGGACTGTCTGCACATGCAGAAATCACTAATAACATGTTACAGACAGGTTTGCAGATGACAAACTCATGCAGTCAGAATAGAAGGGCCTGGGATGGAATTGGGGGAAGATGAGAGCACATAGGAGACTGTCTCGATGCAGCTCACTTCGAATTCACATCATTTATGTACCTCCGTTGAACACAGATGTGCTGGCGTGAGCAGCGGAGAGCAGGGCTGGAAACTCCACCTTCAGAAAGGCAGGGGACTGCTACCTCTGATTCATCCAGAGACCTCATCCACTCAGGTCCGTGAGTAGGGTGGGCCGTTCTCAGCTCCCCTCTGCCCCTCTGTACAAATCTGGACCAACGATTATGAAGGTCCTTTCTTTCAAGAGATTCTGAAACAGACTCCACAGTGTCAGTGGTTCTATAGGACACGGTGCTTGAGGTCAGCTGAGCTCCAAAAACATGGTTCTGGGGTGCACTGCCCTCAGAGCCCTACCACACAGCACACCAGACATCTACTGTGCTCAACAGGGTCCTACTGTGGGCAGGGAACATTGTCTTGACTCAAAACTTTTTGCAAAAATTTTTGCAAGTTTCAGACTCCAACTAATATATGATGAGACATTCTGTCTCCAGTCTGTCCTCGCCCAACGATGACAGTGGGAACTTGAGATTCTGACTATTCACAAACATAACAGCTCCAGGGGACACTCTACGACATCAGGGAGAGTGTCACCTTGTAGACAGCAGACCTGTGCACATTCAGGTCCGAGGGCGTTGGTGTAACCAGTGCTCCAGATCCAGTCTCCACTTTTAGGATATCTGTGTGACCTCTGGGGAGGAGCTGGTGTAGAGAGATGGGGACAGGGCTGTGGCCTCTGCTTGTGCAGGTTCCGGAGCCCCAGGCCCTGCCCCTGCTCCATGTTAGACGCACCACCTCCACCTCTCAGGGATCCCTGCTGGGCCTGCCTGACCTCAGGACATGGAGCACCCCACAGTTCTGTGCTCACTTCACAACTAAATTCTGGAAATTTTGGCTAATATGGAGGACTGAAATGCCTGATGGTGTTTTCCTACTCTCTGGAAAGAAAGTGCCTCAGCAAAGCTTGTCATACACCATCTCCTTCCTCCCTGATCCAGGATTAGAGAAAGAGCCTCAGCAAAGCTTCTCATACACCATCACCTTCCTCCCTGATCCAGGACCATGACACAGTAGAGCCCGGGATTTCCCCTCATGTCCACATGGTCCAGGCCCCAGGTCTATACTGTGACTGTGAATGGAGCTTTCATGATGCTGAAGGGACAACATGTGAACGTGTACTGTTCTCCACTCCATGTGAATGCGCACTGTCTCTGCCCTGCTCTCTGAGAGGGTGGGGAGGGCTCAGTGTCTGCATCAATGGGGCGGCCTGTGCACCTGCAGCAGATTGCCCTTTTCCAGCAGAGCTCACCTCTGGTCAGAAATTGCAAGTAGGAGGATTGCATTTCCACCTTCCAGGATCCATTCAATTATATTAGAGACCAGTCCCCTAAAGTGAACTTGTGGGCTTAGGTGGAATCACCAGTCATGCAGAAGGGAAAACTGTCTTTGAGGGCACCATTCTGCTGGGAATGCTCCTTTCTTTGAGAACAACCAGCCTGGAGCAAAGCCCACAACCTCTGGTTCCTGGATAAAGAACCCTGTCCTTTACTGCCCCCCTCCCCTGCCCCACTTGTAACCTGGTCTCGGCCACTGAGGGACCTTCTAGGCCTGAGTTTTCCAAATGAATTGCACACACACCACCCCGGGGATTATTCCTGACACATTCTACTGGCCACAACCCCCTTGTTTTGCTCCTAAGATTCAAATTCCTTGAAGTTACTACTTGATAGATACAGAGTTTCTATTTGGGGTGATGAAAAGCCGGGGTTGCCTAGAGGTGATGGTGGAACAACATTTTGAATGCACTTGCTACTGCTGATCTACACACTTAAAAATGATGAAAATGGTCAAATTTATGTTCGGTTGATTTCATCAAAATAAAAAAAAATTGCACACACTGGAAATAAGTAAACTGAGTATAATATTCATATAATGGAATAAAAAATATATAGATTATGATGGTAATTACTTTCTCTCTACTCGGTTACTGATAACATTGGGCCTGACTATCCTTTGTAAGGAAGTAAGTGAACTTTAAATAAGCAAACAGGTCGATTTAGTTTAAATGATGTTATATTTATATAAAGTCAAATAAGATCATTTTTGCAGTAGTTGATATGAAATTGTGTATATCTATATACTTTTTTTCTTTTTGGAGAGGTTTTTGCTATAGGGTGCGTGCGCTCTCCAGACAGACAGAGAGAGACAGAGTGATAGAAAGCGAGAAATCACCCCCCAGGGGGAATGGCCATGCCACAATCCCTTTTCCTCCACTCTCCTCTCGGGATCTTGGGCACGCACGCACACGCGCCCGGCGTGAGTTTAAGTCACCAGGCCCGGGACGTGAACCGCGGTCGACTACGTGGGAGTGCAGCGACATAGCCATTACACTAACTGCTGGTTCCTGAAATTGTGGATATTTTACAGTTAACTTTTTTTAGAATTTTAAAAATTTGTTTTGCCTTAGAGTGTGTATACTTGCCAGATAGAGACAGACAGAGAGAAGGTGAGAAATTACCCACCCAATGATACGGCCACACTCCAATCCCTTCTTCTCCATTTTCCTTCTCGGATTTTGGGCAAGCACACCCACACATCCATTGTCGTTTTCAAGCCACCAGGCCCGGCACTTGAACTGCAGTCGATCATGTGGGAGTCCAGTGTCTTAAATACTGCTGGTCCCTTTTGAAAAATTCGTATAGTTTTTGTGTTTTTCTCATGTTACAGAGAGAGAGACAGAGAGACAGGAAGGCACCTCCAACAAAGTCTTCACACCACAGTCCACATCCGTCTCAGCCACCCTGGAGCATGGACACACACACACACACTGTCACACAGCATTCTCTAAGAGGTGCTGGGACGCTAACCCAGGCCCTTTCCTATGGGTCCCAGTTGCATTCCCACTGCCCCACTGCCTGCTGCCTCTTTGTTCCTTTTTCTTCTTCTTCTTTTTTAATTTGGAGATGGTGTGGCTTAGGGACGTGTGAACGGTTCACACATTGAAGACAACTGTGGTGGCTGCTTCAGGGTCCACTGTGACAGGTTGAGCTGACGCTCACAGAGTCACTCCCAATTCTATCTGTTCTGGGGTGAAGAGAGAGATCTGAGCAGACGTGGAGGTGGAAGAGGAGGGCGTGCCTGTGCAGCTCACACCCCCAGGGGCCTGTCTGCGGCTCTCGATGCAGCTGGGATCACAACTCCTCTTTCCCAAGATTCACCTCAGCCTAGATCCGACTCTGCTCTCTCAGAACCCAGAGCTGCGAGGATGTGAGGCTCTTTTAACATCCCATTAAAATGCAAAGATCAAAACTACATTACAGGACATTGGGACATTGACAGTATGAAATTATGAGTTAAACTAGTTTTGTTTTTTGGTGCACAGCTGAGTTCTGCAAGTCCTGACACCCATGATTGGGACAGCTGGCTCCAAGAGGGCTTCCCCAAAGCTGACTATCCATGAAGACCTACAGCCTCAGGCTTGTTAGGATAAAGGTGGGAGGTACCGTGGGGTAGGAAGGCATGCTGACCCTCAGGGAAGGTACAACGGGGGCCTCTGGCTTCCCTCCAGGAAGCTCTGAACTGACCCTGTGTTGAGGCAGGGCCTGGGATCTTGGCCTCTGGCTGTCATCAAACAAACCCCTTGGGGATGGACAGGAACTGTGGGAAATAGGTTTCTGGAACATCAGCACCTTCCTGGGAGGGGAACACTAAGCTGCCAGAGCTCCCTGCAGTGCTGGGAGGGAGAGTCAGTCCTGAAGTGGGGTCTGGGGAGATCCCACAGGGCCTAGATTTGCTCTGTTCAGAACCCATGATGCCGTGGGAACCTGAGACTCAGGAGCTTAGCAGAGTTGGCCAGTCTTGGGTGTCTGAATCAAGGTTGGAGATCTGCACCAGGTGGGAGCCAGGGAGCACCAGCAAGGGAAGGATATATCCTTGTGTCTGTCCTTGCACTCACGTCCTGTCCCCCATCTTACTCAGCAGCCCCTGGATCACCAGGACAACCTAACTGTGTGAGCCCTACATGACCTTCCCTCTGCACAGCCCACATGGGGGACCAGATGGAGAGGGTGCCCTGGGGCTGCAACTGGGAGACCTGGGCCTGCCTGCTGCTGGCTGTGTCTCTTGATCTTCTGAGGCTGGAGGGAGAGTATGACTCAGACAGGGAGGGGGTTTGTGCCTTACTTCCCCATCTGCCTGTGTCACTGTGGGTGTATAATTATCATCATCCCATGACAGACAATAGTAGTCAGCCTCGTCCTCAGCCAGGGCCTTAGTGATGGTCAGGGTGGCCGTTCCACCTGAGTTGGAGCCAGAGAATCGGTCAGGGACCCCTGATTCCCGGTTACTATCCTCATAGATGAACAGTGAAGGGCGCTGGCCTGGCTTCTGCTGGTACCAGTGAGCATAACTGTTTTCAAAGTCTCCTCCCTGGCAGGTGATGCTGACTGTCTCTCCAAGGGCCACAGACAGGGCAGAGGGCTGAGTCAGCACAGAAGTATCCACAGAGGCTGCAAGAGAGGACAGGAGAGGTGAGCCTGAGGCTGAGGGTCTAATAGTCAGAGGGCCCCACACCCTGCAGCACCCTCTGTGCTGAGCCAAAGGTCAGACCAGGCTGGTCCCTAGTTGTGTGGTGCTGAGCCCTGGGGACAGCACCTGTGCAGAGAGTGAGGAGGGGGAGCAGGAGAGGGGTCCAGGCCATGATGGAGACACCCCAGAGCTCTACCTCTGAGCCCACAGCTGGGGAGGGTCCCCAGGCCTCTCTTATCCTGAGGGAGGGGAACTCCTCATGCAAATGTCCTCCTTCCTTCTATGGCTGGATGTGACAGAGAAGGGTGGGGCTTCCAGGGCCTGTCCCCAAGGCCTATGGCCAAGTTCTCAGACTCTCTCTGGTGTGGAGGGGCAAGTGCTGCCCCAATACACATACGCACACTCACACACCTTGGGCTGGGGCCTGGGCCCCTACTCTGGACTGACCAAGACCCCTCCATTCCCCTCTCCAGTGCTGGCACTATACTTGGGGTGTGCTGGGCAAGCTTTGGCTGGTACTACTAGGTCAGGGGTCATGCTGGAGTTGGGGAGGTCAGAATATCATTAGTGGACAAAATGTAAATAGCCATGCACCTCTTTGAAGAATACTCATTACGTATTAGGAAAATAAAAGGGGGGTGGACAAAATTCTTCTGGAATTTGTTAACTATTCACATACTTGACTGCAAAATTTCCTTTTGTGACTGTGTGTGGCTCCCTGTTGAGCAGAAGAGGGCTAGGCTTCTAGGAGGGTGTCCCATGGGCCTGTCCCCAAGGCCTATGTCTAAGTTCTCAGACTCTCTCTGGTGTGGAGAGGCAAGTGCTGCCCCAGTACACACACGCACACTCACACATCTCAGGCTGGGGACTGGGACACTCCTCGGACTGACCAAGACCCCTCCATTCCCCTCTCCAGTGCTGGCACTATACTTGGGGTGTGCTGGGCAAGCTTTGGCTGGTACTACTAGGTCAGGGGTCATGCTGGAGTTGGGGAGGTCAGAATATCATTAGTGGACAAAATGTAAATAGCCATGCACCTCTTTGAAGAATACTCATTACGTATTAGGAAAATAAAAGGGGGGGGTGAACAAAATTCTTCTGGATTTTGTTAACTATTCACATACTTGACTGCAAAAAGAAGAATGAACTGTGCATAATTGCTAAGATGAACCTCACAAAAATTAGAAGATTTTATGAAAACATTTATTAAGGGCCTACCAGTGGCATGGTGGCTAAGTCAGCTGGATCCCGCAGGCCTGGCTGAGCAGATCAAGTCCCAGAACTGGCAGCTTCAAAAATATGCGGGTCTCACAGTCGTGCACGCCTAAATCTTGACAAGAAGGATCAAGGGAGAAGGAACCTCAGTGCAACATTCTCCGCGGGAGGTGTGTTCTTCATTTCTCTACCTGTTTCTTTTTTCTCTCTTTGCTGAATGATTGCAACCACTGGAAAATTAATTTTTTCCCTGAATTTTAGACTTTTGGCATAAGGCACATGCACTCACTAGACAAGGCAGAGGAAGAGAGAGAAGGGAGAAATCACCCTCTGGGGAAATGGCCATGCCACAATCCCTTCTCCTCCATTCTGTCTCTGGATTTGGGCACGCATATACGGGTGCCTGGCATTTCTCAAGCCACCAGGTCAGGACTTCGAACCACATAGTTGGCCATGTGGAATCCAGCACCCTGACCTCACACTACCTGATGGCCCTATAAATTAAATGTTTTTTAAATTGTATTTTTCGGGGTACGCTATGTGGATTCGTGTGCTCACACACAGTGAAATAGCTGCAGTAGTCATTGAAATTGTCATGTTCAACATCTTGAAAAATCAGTCTTAGTGTTGTTTTGTTTTGGTGCCGTGAGCATCCACACCCTGCTCCCAACAGATTTCTAGCACAGAGTAGGGGATCTTGGAGGAAGGACCAGGTGGTGGCAGGGCAGAATGGATTCACCCAACAGAAGGGTCTCAGGGGAGGTCTCAGTCACACCATCTGCACTGGAGCTCTGCCAGGGCACTTGGGGTTATCAGGGTCCCCAAGCCAAGGTCCACAGTTCCCCCTGGTGCCTTTGGGCAATTGCCACCTATCTGTGCCTACTTCAGACAGAAGGATCCCTTTGGATCCTAAAACAATCCAGATGTTGGCTGAGTGTTTACAATCACCAGCTCAACCAGACCTTCCTCAAAAGCCCCAGAAACGCTGAGCTTAAAGCAGGAAATCTCATTCCATCTATAACCAGGGACCATCATGGGAGGTGACATGATTTCCCCTAAAGACCTCGATGGTAGTGGGAGGAGCCCAAGGCCAGGAGGCTCTGCTCTCAGTTGCCCCCAGCCTCCCTGCCCTGCCTCCTGCACCTGTCTCCTCCTCATTTTCTCTCCCCCAGACCTCCTGGGCCCTCTCGTCACACCCTCTGTGCTGTGTTCAGGTGCTCTGTCCTCCTGAGCTCTGTGGACAGAGGGGGCGGACACTCCTTCTATCCCTCTGAGGCAGGAAACAGAGGAGGGTGTGTCAGTGGTGACGCCAGGGATACCAGAGGCCTGATCTCACTCCACCTTACAGGCCATGTCCTTAAATAGTAAGGTCAGGATAAGGTCATTTTTGTGAAATCAAGGCTGTTTTTGTACAATGAAAAAAAAAAAAAAGGTAAAGGAGAAATAATAAAAAGAGAGTCACTTTATTGGCTACAGGCCCATGAATGATGATAACAAAGCCCCTGCAAACTTGGACACAGTAATGCCAGGTGCAGCAAGTAATCCCAGATCTCTGTTCTTTAATATTAATAACAAGGGAGTTCTCCATGGAAGCTGAGAACTAGTGCTTTCAGGGAATGAGAGAAATGAAGATTTTCTACTGAGAATTCACCTTGGTAGATTCCCTTGTATCCTTTTCTCTGTCTCTTTCTGTCTCTCCATCACTCTCTTTTTTATTTTTTAAAAATTTTCTTTTTTTTAAAATTTTTTAATGTAAAGTATTTTCTTGAGTATCAGATTCTACTTTACCTTGCTAATAATCCGCTTTCCCCCCTCCCATTTAGGAGAGGCAAAAAAGGGCAGGCCTTTAGAAGAAGACTGAGTCCTCCATGGGAGCTGAGAACTAGTACATTTGTGTGGCTTGCTTATGGGGCATGCGGTTTTCATTTTTGTTTTCTAAAAGAAAGTATTTTCCTTTTTTTTTTCTTTCTTTCTCTGTTTTCTTATCCTTTTCCTCGTACCGCATCAAAATACTGCTCAACTACCATGCACTGAGCAGATCTGTGAACTGTAGCCGAATGTCCAAGTACTATGAGGGTCAAGATATTTATCAATTCCCAGTGAATCTGCCACACAAAGGGAGAAAAACGGATTGGCAAAGAATTTGCAGATCACCTTCTCCTGCACGCCTCTGAATGCTCAGATTGAATTTCTAGAAATCAGGAAGAAAGGAATAACTCATCCGATGAGTAGAATTCACTGCAGAGGTGTAAGAAATATGAGAAGCCAAGAAAATGCCTCTCCCCCAGAGGAAAAGAAGAACTCCTGTTTATCCACAGACAGTACAATGGAGCTCACAGAAATGTCTGACAAAGAATTCAGTATATTCATAATGACAATGCTAACAGAGACAGAAGAGAAGAGAGACAGTGAAGAGGCAAGAGAAAAGAGTTGACAAATTCCAGGAGGTGAGGAAGTTTTTGTGAGATCTCAAAGAGGAAACGCACACCATAAAAAAGAATCAAATGGAACTGTTAGAGATGAAGGCTATAATAGAGGATGTCAAAACCTCCCTTGAAAGTATTAAAAGCAGACTGGATCATACAGAAAATTCAATCTCAGAGGTAGAAGACAAAATCACTCGACTAGAAAAATCCAACGTGAAGATGGAAAATAGCCCCAAACCTGAGAATAATATTTAAGTCTTAAGCAAAGTTCTCTTAATATTTTTTTATTTTCATTTATTAAAGCTAATGGTGTCTTTCTTAAAATTAAAAGATACATTTAAAAATCCCATTTAATGATCACAGTAAGCTATACAGCCTCAGCTAGGTGCTACTTTATAGTATCTTTATTTACACACAGAGTTTCATGTCTAAAGTCAATGTGTAGTCACAGATATGTATATGTCAGCTGAACTTGCTGTTGAAAGTAGTCAGATTAATTAAGAGATATTGGGAATCAATAAAATGTGGAGAAGAAATTAAAAAAGAATGGAAAGCAGTTGCAGATACCAGAGACAGTGTGGGAAGAGGGTGGGAAAAGGCAAAGGGTGAGGAATAGGGGGGAAATTAAATACACACACACACACGCACATCACACACACACATATATACACGAAACAAGAAATGGAAAATTATTTGTTGATAACATGTATGATTAGGCCACTTTACAGTGTACTCTCAATAGGAAATCACATTTTGTATGCTGTGATGATGTTCAATGAAAGACTGAAATAGGGACCAGCAGTTGACCTAATGGCTATGTCTCTGGATTCCCACGTAGCCAATCGTGATTCGAGTCCCAGACCCAGTGGCTTAAACTCATGCTGGGCGTGTGTGTGTGTGTGTGTGTGTGCTGTCCAAGATCCTGAGAGGAGAGTGGAGGAGAAGGGATTGCGGCGTGGCCATCCCTCCTGAGGGGGTGATTTATTGCTTTCTGTCTCTCTGTCTCTCTCTGTCTTTCTGCGAGCACATGAGTCATATAGCAAAAACCTCTCAAAAAAAGACCGTGAAATAAATAAATTTTAAATGTGAAACATAAAAACATTAGTAGCAAGAAAACCAAAGGTACAGGGAAAAACAATTTTAAAATGTTATATGTACATATGTAATAATTAAATGTTAATATATATTCAAGTACGTATGGGTGTATATATAGTTGTACACATACACCCCAAACACACACACACCCCAATATGTACAAGCATTTGTTAAAACTGCCCTCCCAGTGCTGTTACCAGATTCCCCAAGATGGCTGTACAGTGTGTTAATTTCCATTCATCTCAAGGCACTTTCTAGTTTCTCCTTAACTCAATGATTTGTTTCTGTGTAGGAATGTGTTTCTAACTTCCCAAACATTTGTGAATTGTATAAAGTGATTTCTGTTACTAATTTCTAATTCCATTGAATTGTGTTCATATAATACACTTCAGGTTATTTTCATCATTAATAATATATTGATTGTTTACAATGCCTAGTATAAGATCTATCCTGGAAAATGCGGCAGGTGCTCGCTAAGACGGGTCAGGACTTCCTCTGTCAGCAATCCAACTCTGCTCTCGGCCATGGAGTCAGGGCGCTCTCGTGCATCGACTCCTCCATGGCCTGCAAGCTCCACAGCGACTCCCATCTGGGGACAGTATCCTGGCTCTCCTAGGCCTTCTTCAGGTGAGTCTCCTCTGTGCTGGGAACAGGAGCAAAGCCTCTCAGATCATGGTCCCAGTAGCACAGCAGTGTCAGCTTCCAGGGCTGTTGGACCCACAGATCCCAGGTCAGAACTGGGGCAGGGGCAGTGGCATCTCTGAGCACCCCAGGTCTGGGCTCCCTGAGGTACAGATGCTCTGGGCTCAGCCTCAAGCAGCTCTCACTTCCTCTGAGCTGACAGCCAGCCCTTGTCTCCCCAAGTCTTTCTCAGCCCACCTGGGTCTTGGTGCTTCCCTGCCCTGCGGTGACCTTCTGTCCCAGGGTATTGAGCAGGGAGGGCAGCTGACTGAGCTGGTGGAAGGACAGGTACTGCGAGGTAGGAGGGATGAGAGGAGGGTGGTCAGAGGCTGACTCCCACTCTGCGGCTCTGCCTGTCGTGAGCTCAGGGCTCTGGGCAGGCCCAGCTCAGTGTGTTCTGGGGCTAAACCTGCAGGCCAGGTGAGGCCAGTGCTTGTGCACAGGAAGAAGGAGAACAGGAGAGGGTCCAGGCCATGTGGAGATGCCCAGAGCTCTGCCTGCTGAGGCCTCAGTGGGGCTCCACTGAGCTCTGTCACCTCCCAGGATGGACCAGGCTCTGAGTCAGTCATCTTTATTGAAGCAGGTTGGGCTCTAGATAGTTCTAAGTAGCCCAGGAGAGTCTGGCCAGGAGGGAAATAACCAGTGAGGGGACAAATACCTTAGCCCCATTCCTAGCCCACTGTGTCCCTACCAGATCCAGGAAGAAACTTCTGCCCTTCTCGTGCAGCTTCATTACTGGTCCTTAAGAAATTGATGGGAGCACCCTTTCCTGGAGGTGCTGATGGCCCAGTGGCCCAAAGGAGACACAGGGCCTGGGATTTCTGCCTCAAGCTGTCATCAAACCAGACCCAATGAGGACGGGCACGCACTACGGGAGGCAGGTTTCTGGAACGCAGCCCCTCCCAGGGAGGCCCCAGCTCTGAGCTAGACGATGCCCCACGCAATTTGGTTCAAGGACGGGCCCAGACGGCCTCATTAGAAACCCAGGGATCAAGACCACAGAACTGAAGTGAGCTGGTCCCCGTCAGTCCAAACGGGCCTTTTCTTTACATTCGACAAGACATCCGCCCAAACACCATGACAACCTGGACCTGCCAGGACTAAACCCATCCGTGACTCTCCGCAGAGACTGCCTGGAGGGCTAGGAGGAAAGGCACCTGGGGGCTCGGACCTGGGTGAGCTGGGCCAGTCCTGCTCCGGGCTGTGTCCCCGTCCTCCTAGGGCTGCAGGGAGAGTGTGAGGCAGTCAGGGGAGGGGGTTTGTGTCTCACTTCCCCATCTGCCTTTGTCACTGTGCCACTGTACCCTGACTGACAGTAATAGTCGGCCTCGTCCTCAGCCTGGGCCCCAGTGATGGTCAGGGTGGCCGTTCTACCTGAGCGGGAGCCCGAGAATCGGTCAGGGACCCCTGAGGCCTGTTCATCATCATAATAGATGAGCAGTGCAGGGCGCTGGGCTGGCTTCTGCTGGTACCAGTGAGAATAATAGCTTTCTAAGTCTTCTCCCTGGCAGGTGATGCTGACTGTCCCTCCCAGGGACACAGACACTGAAGGCGGCTGAGTCAGCGCAGAGGAGGTCACAGAGCCTGCAAGAGAGGACAGGAGAGGTGAACCTGAGGCTGAGGGTCTCCTTCCCAGAGGACCCCACACCCTGCAGCACCCCCTGTGATGAGCTGAAGGTAAGGCCAGGCTGGTCCCTGGTTGTGTGGGGCTGAGCCCTGGGGGCAGCACCTGTGCAGAGAGTGAGGAGGGGGAGCAGGAGAGGGGTCCAGGCCATGGTGGAGGTGCCCCGAGCTCTCCTCTGAACCCACAGCACAGCTGGGCTCCCAGGCTCCTCTTATTCCCTCAGGTCCTTGGGGGCCATGGCTGTTTGGTGTTTATGCAAATTGGCTCCTCTCTGGGCTCCTCATCAGGGCTAAGGTGGTGTCATACTTCCCAGCTGTGGGCGTCCATCAGGCTTCTGAAGAGGGTATAAGCCCCTGCCCCTCACACCCGCGTGTTCTGAGCTGCTTTTCTGACCAACACTATTGCGGTCATGCTGGGACCAGTGAGGTAGGACTATCATGATTGGACAAAGTGTAAATAGCCATGTACCTCTGTGAGAATACTCATTTCGTATTAGAAAAATAAAAGAGGGTGAACCAAACTCCGGGATCTGTTAAGTATTCACATTCTTGGATCCGCAGCACCGTGTGCATAACTAGGCACTGTGCATAATTACTAAGATGAACCTCATACAAATTAAAAGTTTCTATGAAAATATTTTTAAGGGCCTGCCAGTGGCATGGTGGCTAAGTCAGCTGGGTCCCAGAGGCCTGACTGAGCAGATCAAGTCCCAGAACTGGCAGCTTCGAAAATATGCGGGTCTCACAGTCGTGCACGCCTAACTCCTGACAGGAAGGATCGAGGGAGAAGGAACCGCAGTGCAACATTCTCCGCAGGAGGTGTGTTCTTCATTTCTCTGTTTCTCTTCGTATTTCTTTGTAGAATGCTTACACCCACTGGAAAATTAATTTTTCCCTATTTTTAGATTTTTTGCCATAAGGCACATGCCCTCACCAGACAACGATAGAGAGAAAGGGAAGAGAGAAATCACCCCTTGGGGAGATGTCTATGCTATCATCTCTTCTCCTCCATTCTCCTCTTTGAATTTGGGCCTGTATACACAGGTGCCTGGCATTTCTCAAGCCACCAGGTCAGGGATTTGAACCACATAGTTGGCTCTGTGGAATCCAGTGCCTTAACCTCACACTACTTGATGGTTCTAAAAAGATTTTTTTTTAAATAAAAATTGTATTCTTTAGAGTATGAGATGTGGTTTTGTGTGCTCATACACAGTGAAATACCTACTGTAGTCAGTCAAATTATTATGCTCACCTCTTGAAAAATTAAGGCTTGTTTTGTTTTGTTTTGGTGCCATGAGCACCCACACCCTGATCCCAACAGATGTCCACCACACAGTAGAAGAGCTTGGACGAAGGGCCAGGTGGTGTCAGGGCAGAGTGAATTCACCCAACAGAAGGGTCTCAGGGGAGGCCTCAGTCACACCCTCTGCACTGGAGCTTTGGCAGGGCACTTGGGGTTATCAGGGTCCCCAAACCAAGGCCCACAGTGACCCCTGGTGCCTGCAGGACAAATGTCACCTCCCTGTGCCTACTTCAGACAGAATGCCCACTTAGGACCCTGAAACAATCCAGATGTTTCCTGAGTGCTTTGCAGGCACCACCTCAGCCAGACGTTCCCAGTAACCCCTAGCAGCCCTGAGCTTAAAGCAGGAAACCTCATCCCATCTATGACCAGGGACCATCATGGGAGGTGACATGGTTTCCCCAAAGACCCAGACAGTAGTGGGAGGAGCCCAGGGCCAGGAGTCTCAGCTCAGAGCTGCCTCCAGCCTCTCTGCCTTGACTCCTACACCTGCCTCCTCCTCTTCCTCTTGTCACACTCTCTCTGCAGTGTCCAGGTGCTCGATCCTACTGAGCTTTGTGGACAGAGACAGATTGTTCCCTCTGCTCCCTTCAGGATAGCAAACAGAGGAGGGTGCGTCAGTGGCGACATCAAGGATATCAGAGGCCTGATCTGGCTCCCTCTTACAGGCTGTGTCCTTAAATATTCAGGTCAACATTCCATTTCTGTAAAATCAAGGCTTTTTTTATACAGTAAATAAAAAAAAAGTTAAAGGAGAAAAAATATAAAAAGAGAGTCACTTTATTGGCTACAGGCCCATGAATAATAATAACAAAGACTGCGAACTCAGATACACTAATGCCAGGTGTAGCAAGTAATCCAAGTTCTGCATTATTTTTAAATATTAATAACAAGGGAGTCCTCCATGGGAGCTGAGAACTAGTGCTTTCAGGGAGTAAGAGAAATGAAGGTTTCTCTGCTGAGAATTCACTGTGGTAGAGCCCCCTGTATCATTCTCTCAGAGTCTCTCTTTCCATTTCTGTGTCGCCATCTCTCTTTCTCTTCTCATTTTCAAAATATTTATTTTATTTTAATATTTTAAGGCAAAGTATTTTCTTGGCTCTCAGATCCTCCTTTATCTTTCTAATATTCTGCCTCTGCCCCTCCCATTTAAGAGAGGCAGAAAAGGCAGGCCTTCAGAAGAAGACTGAGTCCTCTGAGGAAGCTGAGAACTAGTGCTTTTGCATGGCGCAGGATTTTCATTTTTTGTCTTTTAAAATAAAGAAATAAATACTTCCTTTCCTTTTTTTCTCTCTCTCTTTCTCTGTTTTCTTATCCTTTCTCTTTTACCTCATAACTTTGCTGTTCAGCCTCTACGCACTGAGTGTCTAGATATCCAAGTACTATTAGAGTCAACATATCCCTCAGTTCCCACTAAATCTGCCATACAAAGGGAGAAAAATGAAACAGCAAAGAGTTTGCAGATCACCTACTCCTGCACACCTCTGAACACTCAGACTGAACTTATAGAAATTAGGAAGAAACAAATAACCCATCCAATGACGAGAAATCACCACAGAGGCACAAGAAATATGAGAAACCAAGAAAATACCTCTCCCCGAAGGGTAAAGAATAACTCCTTTTATCCACAGACAGTACAACGGAACTCACAGAAATGTCTGACAAAGAATTTCGAATATTCATAGTGACAAAGCTAACAGAGATGGAAGAGATGAGAGACGGTGAACTCCAGAAGAGAGGAGAAAATAGCCGACAAGTTCCAGTAAGTGAAGAAGTTCTTGCTAGATCTGAAAGAGGAAATATACGCCATAAAAAAATAAATAAATAAAATGGAATTGTTGGAGATGAAGGCTATAATACAGGATGTCAAAACCTCCCTTGAAAGGATTAGAAGCAGACTAGATCATACAGAATATCGACTCTCAGATGTAGAAGACGGAATTGCTGGAGTAGAAACAAACAGCATGTAGACTGAGAAAATAGCCCAAGACATGAGAAGAATATATGAGAAACACTAGATATCATTAAATGTCTCAACATGTGGATAATCTGTATCTCAGAAGGTGAAGAGACTGATAAGGCCATTGATAATAGATTCTATGAAATCCTAGAAGAAAACTTTCCAAACCTAGAGAGGCATTCAAAGGGCCAGACTCAAGAAATACAAAGGACCCCAAATACGATCAAACCAAGAAGATCTTCTCCAAGACGCATCATAGCCAGACTGACAAATACCACAGACCAAGACAAGATACTAAGATTGGCAAGAGAGCAATGTCAAGTTACCTACAAAGGATATCCCATCATGCTAACAGTGGACCTCTCGTCGGAATCAATGTGAGCAAGGAAAGAATGGGAAAATATACTCGAAGCATTGAGTGAAAAACAATTTCAATCAAGAATACTATCTCTGGCAAGATTATCCTTCATATGGAAAGAGAAGATAAGAAAATTCTTAGATAAACAAAATATGAAAGAATTTATCAACACCAGGTCAGTTATCCAAGAAGTTCCAAAGCGAGAACTATAACAGGAAAACTAAAGTCAGACACACAGAAATAAGAGTTCAGAAATGACTAAGAAAATGGCAATCTTAACTGTAGGGACAAGTCCAGAGTTGAACATTTAACTCTAAACTTTTCATTTAATTTAACTTAACATTTTAGTTTAATTTAACATTGAATTTAAATGCAGAGATTGGACCACAATAGTAGATTAAGTACATGAGTCTGAACTGGTGAAATAGACTTTTGACTAAAACATTACTGATCTTTTTCTATGCTTTATTTTCCAATGTTAAGGATTCTTCACTTGAGTAGTGGACAGGTCCATGTACCAGCTGTTTCAACAGAATCCTGACCTGTTTCCTGGCTTTAAGTCTTAAGCAAAGTTCTCTTAACATTTTTTTATTTTGATTTATTAAAGCTAAAACTGCCTTCCTTGAAATTAAAAAATATATTTAAAAATACCTGTTCAAGACCACAGTAAGCTGTATAGCCTCAGCGAGGTGCTACTTTATAGCATATTCATTCCACCCATGGAGTTTCATGCCTAAAGTCAAACATGTGTTCACAGATACGTATATAGAAGCTGAACGTGCTATTGAAAGTAGATTAATTAAGATATTTTGTAAATCAAAAAAATAAAGGAAAAAATGAAAAGAGAATGGAAAGCTATTGCAGATGCTAGAGACAGTACGGGAGGAGGGTAGGAATTAGCAGAGGGTGAGAAATGGGGGGAAAAATATATATATAACATATACACACATGAAATAATATATATATATATACACACACACACACATGAAACAAGAAATTGAAAATTATTTGTTGATAATAGCATGTATTATTAAGCCACTATATTGTGTATTCTGGATGGGAAATTGCATTTTGTGTGCTATTATGGTGCTCAGTGAAAGAATGTAAAAGAAGTAAATAAATAAAGAAGAAGAAAACAATAGGCACAGGGGATAAAACTTAAAAGCATGTTATACAGGGACCAGCAGTTAGCGTTATGGCTATGTCGCTAACATATTTATGTATATATAATTAAATTTTAACATATATTCAAGTATATATATAATTATATATAAACACATATTCAAGTATGAGTGTATATAAAGATGTACACACACACACACACACACACCCTAAACACACACACACACAAGCATTTGTTAAAACTGCCCTCCCAGTGCTGTTAGCAGATTCCCCAAGCTGGCTATACGGTGTCTTAATTCCCATTCATCTCATGGTACTTTCTAGTTTCCCTTTAAGTCAATGATTCTTTTCTTTGTAGGAATGTGTTTCTAACTTCCCAAACATCTGTGAGCTTTATGATATGGCTTCTGATACTACTGATTCCTAATT